AATTTTCGTATCTCTGGTTGTATATAAAGTGTATTCACACAACTTGTGTTTTCATACATGTACTTAGGGTAATACTGTCCATCTCATTCCACCACCTTTTCTACCCTCATCCCCCTCCCTTCCCCTCCCACCCCTTTGCCCTATCTAGAGTTCCTCCAATCCTCCCGTGCTCTCCCTCCCAACTCCACTATGAATCAGACTCCTTATATCAGAGAAAACATTTGGCATTTGTTTTCTTGGGATTGGCTAACTTCACTTAGAGTTATATTCTCCAACTCCATCCATTTATCCACAAATGCCATGATTTTATTGTCTTTTATTGCTGAGTAATATTCCATTGTGTATATGTACCACATTTTCTTCATCCATTCATCTACTGAAGATGTCTACTGAAGGACATCTAGGTTGGTTTCACAGTTTAGTTATTGTGAATTGTGCTGCTATAAACATTGATGTGGCTGTGCCACTGTGGTATGCTGTTTTTTAAAATATTTACGTAGTTGTAAATGAACACACAGTATCTTTGTTTATTTTTATGTGGTGCTGAGGATCAAACCCAGTGCCTCACACATTCGAGGCAAGCACTTTACCACTGAGCTACAGTCCCAGCCCCTATAGTATGCTGTTTTTAAGTCCTTTGGGTATACACCAAGGAGTGGGATAGCTGGGTCAAAAGGTGGTTCCATTCCCAGTTTTCCAAGGAATCTCCATATTGCTTTCCATATTGGCTGCACCATATTGCAAGTCCCACCAGCAATGTATGAGTGTGCCTTTTCCCCCACATCTTTGCCAACACTTATTATTGTTTGTATTCTTAATAGCTGCCATTCTGACTGGAGTGAGATAAAAACTTAGAGTAGTTTTAATTTGCATTTCTCTAATTGCTAGAGATGTTGAACATTTTTTCATATATTTGTTGATTGATTGTGTTTCCTCTTCTGAGAAGTGTTTGTTCAGTTCCTTGGCCCATTTATTGATTGAGTTATTTGGGGTTTTTTGGTGTTTAGCTTTTTGAGAGCTTTATATACCCTAGAGATTAGTGCTCCATCTGATGTGCAAGTGCAGCACTAAGAATTTTACCTTATGATCTCAGTAATCCTACCCAAGACTCTATAGCAGATGCCATGCCTCCTTCCTCCCAAGCCCCAAGAGAGTTAGACTGGCTTGTCCAAGGCCACCTATCTGGAAAGAGGTGGAGCCAACACTGAATGAGTTTAGGCAGCATAGGAGAGGTTATCCTTTGTAACAATGACCTCCAAATCCTAGTAACTTATGACAGCCTGCTGTGTGCTGCAAGTTACTGCAGGTCAGCCCTGCTCTGGTCCATGTCCCCCATCTGAGGTCCAGGCCAATGGGGCAGCCTCCATTTAGAACATCACCAGTCACCATAGCAGGAAAAGAGAGCTTGGAGTGGTCTCTCCTGGACTGAAAGACTTGCCTTCTCACAATTCATTGTCCTTGTCATGCCAGAAAACACAATCCTTACAAATGCCCAGGAAAGGGGAGAACTGACATATTTGAAGATAGCACTTGTGATTATCCCATGCAGTTTCCAGTCACGTGTTTGACTGATTCCTGCTATATACTGAGCCTCAGTTTTCTCATCCAGAAGGTGGGAATAATAAATCTACCTTGTGGGACTGTTGTGGTGACATAATATTTAGAAAATCCCAAGCCTAGGAAGACTGAATTGTAGCAATCTGTATTCAGGCGTGAAGGTCAGGAGTCCTCTGGGCTGGTCTGTTCGACCTTTGTTCTGTGAAATGACAAGGCAGGATAGAGAATTCAGAAGATTCCTTGTGAAAACAACAGGACGTTCTTTGAAAAGTGCTGCATCTCTCCTGTGGGCCTGAAACCACCTTCAGAGAAGCCAGAGGGGAAGGAAAGTTTCCAGGACAACAATCAGCGGCAACAGCCAATGTGCAAATGTGATTATGTCAGCAAATATGCAAAGTGCTGTGCACTTTTGGAAGGCTCTTCATTTAGGACTAATTAAATGCTTGGAATCAGGAAGACTGAGAGGGTCCTCTCAGGGAAGCTACTTCAGGTCAGCAAGACACTTCAGGGTCTATTTACAAGAGTGGAAAACTCCAGAGGAGGAGAGGAAGAGGACAGCTCAGCTTAGAACACACCGGAAGCAAAACTCAAGGCTTTAAGGGCTGAAAATCACCTGGGCTATTGTGGGGTCCTATTTATAGCTCCAACCTTGGTCCTGGGGGTCTGAGGTTTTGTGTGATGAAAGAATACGCAATTGGGATTTGTGCTGGTGGTTGTGAAATGAGTGTTGCAGAAAGAATGGAATATATTATTTTTTCTATTGCTGCTGTGACAGATTACCACAAATTTAGTGGCTTAAAACAACACCAATGTGTTCTATTGAATAGCTCTGGAGATTGACAGTCCCAAGTCAGTTTCACTAAAGTGAAGATGTGGGCAGAACTAATTTCTTCAGGAGGCTCAGAAGGACACTCCATTTCCTTACTTTTTCTTTTTTTTTTTTTTTTTGCTTCTAGTATGTTTTTGTCAGTTTTGCATTGCCGTGACTCAAAGAACTGACAAGAACAGCGTAGAGTTTATTTTAGTTCTTGATTTCAGAGATTTGGTCCATGATTAGCTGACTCCATGGTTCTGGGCCCAAGGTGAAGCAGAAATCATGGCATAAGGCTACAGTGAAGAAAAGTAGCTTAGACACAGCAACCCGGAAGCAGAGAGAGTTCTGCTCACCAGGGACAAAATATAAATCCAAAAGCCAAAAAGAAGACCTACCTTCTTTAGCCATGTCCTACCTACAGTTACTGCCCAGTTAATTCATATTATAGGATTAATTCACTGATTAGGTTAAGGCTTTCATAACCCAATCATTTCACCTCTGGAAAAAATTTTTTTTTAGCACATAGCTATTTCAAAAATTTTTTTAGTTGTAGACAGACACAATACATTTATTTATTTATTTGTTTATCTTTTTTATGCAGTGCTGAGAATTGAACCCAATGCCTCACACATGCAAGGCAAACACTCTACCAACTGAGCTACAGCCCTCGCCCCCATAGCTATTCTTTTTTAATATTTATTTTTTTAGTTATAGGTGAACACAATATCTTTATTTTATTTTTATGTGGTGCTAAGCATGGAACCCAGTGCCTCAGGCATGCTAGGAGAGTGCTCTACCTCTGAGCCACATCTCCAGCCCCTCCATAGCTATTTTTATTCATTCATTGAACAAAAGAGAAAGTTATTGAAGATTTTATATTTATAAGAAACTATTAAATTAGGTCTGAAGAATAGCAAGATACAGAAGGTATGAACTCTTTCTTCCTAAGCCCCCCAAACTGAAGATAAATATAAGCAAAATTAATGATGAGAATGTAAGTATGAAGGCTAGAATTCAGCTTTTCTCACCCCCACTGTTACAATTCCACTGATGTCAAGACAAACACCTCCATGAGGCTAAGTTCAATGCTTAGTTTTCATTTCTCATCTTACTAAAACTATGTGCAGAATTTGATACAATTATTAAGTTTTTCTTTGAAAATTTTTCTTTATTTGGCATTCAGGTCCCATAGATCCTTTGTTTCCCTCTAGGTCACTGTTCTATTTTTATCTTCCTTTGTTAATTGTTTTTTTTTTTTTTATCCTCAACCTCTTGAATCTCCTAGTTATGTAATATTTGAGCATCTTGCAAACCAGTCTTGGTGCTCTTTTTTTACTATCCCTCTATTTACTGTGATCCATACTCAGTTTTAATTGTGTACATATTCTGGTGGCTCCCTAGTATGTATTTCCAGTCCATCCCTTACTCTTGGACTTCCAAACTTATTTATTCAACTGTTTCCAACAGTCTACTCAGTGACTAATAGCTGCCTCACATCCAGCACATTCCTCACCTCTGTAAATTCTTGCATTGTCTCACACCTGAGCTTCTTCGAGGGTTACCTCGTATTAAAACTATAGCCTTTTTTGGTTGGTGGCTCCTTCCTCCATCTTCAAGGGTTAACATTCGAGTTTCTGGTATCACCACATGACCTTCTCCTCTTCCATCGTCAAATCTCTTTCTGCCTCCCTGTTATAGGAACACTTGTGATTACATTTAGGATTGACTCTGATCTTCCTGATAGTCTAGGATGATCTCTTCATCTCAAAATCCCTAACTTAATCACATATACAAATACCTTTTGCCATAAAAGGTAATGTCCATATGTTCCAGGGACTAGGACCTGAGTATCTTTGGAGCCATTATTCAGGATGCCTCTTGGAACCTCAGAGATGGGTTGAATAACAAGAGAGATAGCCATGAATCCATCTGCATCTATAGAGCTCCCCCTGGCGCCTGGGGTAGGGGACTTCCTCCCTGCCATGGCCACAGCTGGGACTTCTGCAGTGAGCGTGGGCACACACGTTCCCCTTTTGCTATGTAGCCTGGGCTGCACACATGTCATATGATAAACCATTTGATACGTATGTCTTCAGCATTTATTTTCCTGTGGGTGGTGGTCACACCTGGGTTCCTGCTGGGTTTTCTGAGTAAGATATTCTTTCTACAAATATTTATTGAACCCTAATGTGTCTGGCACTGTCCTAAGCACTTGGGATGCAGCAGTGAACACAGCACACTAAAGTCCCCATCTGCACAGAACTCATGTTCTACTGGTGGAGATGGCGATAAAGAATCAAGTCATAAGAAATTAGTCAGGTAGAACATTAGGAGGCGATGGGGCTATGCAAAAAGGAAAAGTAGAGCAGGGATGGGAGATGGAGTGTGCCAGGTGAGGTGAAGAAGGTGACGGTACTAAATGGTGTGTTCTGGGTAGGTCTCATTGAGCAGGTGAGAGGTAGGCAGCCTTGGAGATGTGGACATCTGGAGAAGGGGGTCTTCATAGCTGGAGCAAAGGCTGCAAGGTGGAGCATGCCCAGTATGTCTGAGGAACAGAAAGAAGGCCAGTGATGTGGGAGTAGACAGAGTAATGGGGAAAGTCACAGCAGGTGAGGACAGAAGGTAGCAGGAGCCAGGTGAGCTTTGAAGTCCTCTCTGCAGCTATTTAAGCCAAACCCAAAAAGAGAAGAGAAGAAAAGCAAAACAAATGCTCCACACCATCTGGCCTGGGCCTGACAACTCCTCTGAACAGGGAGCTATTTCCTGTGTTGGGATCTGTGTGACTTGCTCCAGTCACTTATCCTTGCAGGGTAAACTTTCCCAGCTTATCAGTGGAGAAGCTGGCACTGCATTCTTTCATGCAGTCACCTGCTCAATGGGTTCATGGCATATGATACAGCGCAATGGACACAAAGAGATCTCTGAGTCCTTCCAGCTCTAACACTCTGAGCTGAAAATATTGAGGTGTTAGGGATCAGGAAGAGAAGAAATGATAGGGTAAGGATTTTAAGGTAGAAAAGGAGTTAGCCTCAAAGGGTAGAACTGGAAGGGTAGATGTTTCAGAGAAACACTTTGGGGATCGTGTCAAGAAAGTGGTCTCCAAAAATAAAATGGGCTGTCATGAGAGGTCTGTTCACCACTGGAGGTCTGCATGCAAAGGCTGAAAGGTTCTTTGGTAAAACATCACTGAGATTTGAGTGCTGGGTGGAGGCTGGACTGGATGGCTTTTAAGGCCCAGGGTTTTCTCTGAAATCTCTATCTCTGGAGGACTTTGGTACAAAGGCAGGTTGGTGCCTGTTGGGATGTTCTGAGGGTCTTGCTTTAGGCTGAGGGTTAGACTGTTCTCCCTTAAAAGTGGAGGTAAATGAGATAGTGAGTGAGACAATTTGGGGGACCAAGTGTTCCTCAGTCCAAGAAATGCATTAATAAATAGACACCTGGTGGTCACTGAATCCCATCATGTCACTGCCCAAGAGAACAGCAGAGCAGTCAAAGAGCAGTGAGGCCATGACTGTCTGCTCAGTGTGTTTCCAGCCCCAGAGGAACAAGCAAGAGTCCCAGTTCCAAGACTGTCAGGATCCTCCCTGCCTCTGTTGACAGGCCTACCCAGAGAGCAGGGAGAGCCCCAGAGCATACATAGCACAGGTGGATTTGATTGGCTCCTCCCACTTTCCCTTTTGCTAATGACATTGATTGATTGATTCATTCACCCAATGAATATTTATTGAGCAACTAATAGTAAATGAGTCCTCTTCGAAGTTCTGAGACTTCAACAACCAAAAACATGGATTAAAATTCCTACTTTGTGGAGCTTATATTCTAGCAGAGGAAAAAGCAAAATATATAGTATATTTGATGGTGACAAGTGTTGTGCAGAAGGAACATAGAGAGTATTAAGTGTGTAATATAGTAGTGGGTCAGAGAAGGTCTCACTGAGAAGGTGAACTTTGAAGAAGATAATGGTCCCTTGGGCCACACATAAGCATTACTTTCCAGTTCTCTCTGCACATTTTCTCAGGCCCCACATTTGTACCACTGTGGCAGGGGTCTCAGGAACAATCATTTGGGGTTGTATTGCCATATTTAATTCTTTTAGCGTGCTCATAACTTAATTCTTCATTTATTTATTAATCCTCCCAATCCCTTTTATATGTTGAGTATAACTGTGTTCCAGGCACTATGCTCTCCGTTTTGTATACAACAACACATTTAGTCCTTTCTGCAACCTATGAGGATAAATATGCTTATGTCTAACTCACACATGAGATAACTGAGGTTAGATGCTTTAGGTATTATTGCAGGCTGATCATTTGTATTCCCCCAACATTCTCATTCTGATGAACTTAATTCCAAGTATGACTGTATTAAGGAGGTGAGGTCTTTGATTAGGTCATGATTAATGCTCTTATAAAACAGGATCCAGAGATCTCTGAATTATGGTTTTCATAATTTCTATTATGGGAAAGAGGGAATGGGAGAGAGAACCTGTGAAATTTGAACCAGGTCACGCTGTATTGCTTTTCTAATTCCAAATTAATAGTTATTGAACTATATTACTCTCAAAAAGTCTGGTGAATTTGATAGCTAGATGAATTTGGTAGGTAGGACAATTATCCCTCTATTCCCATTTGATAGGCATGAAATCGAGGCATTAAGACCATTTTGCTGATTTGCCTAAAGTACACAGAGAGTTTATGATGGGGACTGGGCTGCATTCTATTCTTCCCACGTTCCTTCTTAAAAATCTCATTTAATTTTCTGAATAGATGACTATATTTATAAGTTAAGGACATGACAAGGTGGAAAGTGAAAAAGTCAGTCTCTCTCCCCTCCCTGTCCCCAAACACAAATCCCATCTCCAGAGACAATGACCTGTTCAACCACTGAGTTTTCTTCTTTGCATTTACCCCAAATGGGAAAGACAGAAGACAGGCTCAGAGCTTCAGGAGTGCTTCCTGGCTTGATGTAGGGATAGAAACAAAGCTCGATCACCCATTGGCTGTGTCACTAAACATCTCAGAGTTGTAGTTCTTCACCTATGAGAATCACATCTCCTGCCTCAGAGTGTTATAATTCAGAAAGAATGTTCACAAAAGCACATCTATGCACATCATGCAGTGGTGTTTTGAAGGTCAACATTATTTTTGGCCCGTTTTTCTCTCTCTGGAGGAGCCCTCAAACCACCACTATGCTTTTACTGCCTCTCAGAGACTGTGGGAAGGACGGATCGGATGTGGGACTCATTTCTACATGATGACAGGAAATTATTCAAATCGTACCAAGTGCAATTAAAGTTAGATTTTAGAAGAAACTTTGTTTTGGAATCCCAAAGGGGGTTTTGAGGTCTCTGTCTTTGAAAAATTCTCAGAAAATACTAATTACACTACATTAAGCCTCGATTCTTCCCAGAAGTGAGGGGATGGATAAGATGACTTCCCCAGTCCCTTCCTCTCTAGAAATTAGAATTCAAGTAGGAGAGAAATTTAAGTTGAACCACCTTTTGCCCCCCAGCTCCAGTTCTGGGCTGGCCAGATGGATGAAGAGCCACTCTCCAGGAATAAGGTAGCCTTTATGGTCCTTTCCTCCCTGGAATTCATTAATTCTCTTGAATTAGAGAGAAATTTAAGCTGAATGACCTTCTGCCCCTAGCTCCAGCTCCAGGGCGACCATATGGGCTAATGACCCATCACCTATTAAAGCGTGGCCTTTCCTGCTTACTTGCTAATTTTAGACTCACTTTCCAGAATGATCTTCTACCTTGGAGAGCACCCTAGGATTGGCTGTGTTTGGGGGGAAGGGCACAGAAGAAAGCTTCCATCCCCAAGGAGATGAAAAAGTTAGAATCTGATGGAGATTTTATGGAAAGGGGTGAGGGAAAGCTTCATTTTATAGGAAGGAGATGTACCTTCTGGGACATCCAGAGGCTGGGACATCTTCTTTTTGGATACCTGTAAGAACCAGAGTGAGACCTCCATCCTTCTATGTCAGAAAGAAGAGAAACAAGGACGGACAGAAGTTGCCTGCTCTGAATTTTTCATACCCATGTCCCTGAATCCTTTATGGCTTACATGAAGGATTATTACCTCCTTTATGAAAATAAATCTCCAAATCTCCAAATTTTAGAATCAGAGGCTGTCCAGGCAGGCAGGGCAGTTTCCAGCACTCCAAGTGGTTCTTTGGGTTTTACCTCCTCTGGAGCCTCTCTTTCAGATCTGACATGGCCACCACCACCACATTGGCCTAACCAGGAACACAGTTCCCTCCCTTCTCTTCCTCTTAGCATGGAGTACATAGGTTAAGCATCTCAATGTGAACACATAGTAAGTGAAGAGACAAGGGCAGTAAGCAAAAAGTGTACCTAAGGACTGAAACAGACCTGTGAAACCCAGTGCTCTTGGTTCTTCTAGACCTGTCCAGCTCTTCCCAGAGCTCTGAAATAGCCTCGTAGAGTCCCAGAGGGATAGCACAATTTCATAGGCGGGTTTTACAGTTCCTATTTTTAGCCTGTGAAAGGTAGCAAACCCAAACACCCACCTCTGAGGAACAACCTCTCAGCCATCTTGACATTTTAGGGTCAAGCCCTACATGGCCACTCTGTCGGGATCTACAAGCTATCTGATGTGAGGTCTAGAAAAGACCTCTTTCTCAGGCAAGAGGAGACAAAAAATAACCTCATCCTTTAAGATGACGTCCCAGCCCTTGCACATAGACCCAACAGAATAATACATTGTCCAAAATCTGGCATCACTTCCACACCATGGGGAAGTGATATGGGGCTCCCTTTCTATAGGATGAAAGGACATTATTCAAATTGTACCAAGTGAATTAAAATTAGATATTAGAAGAAACTTTGTTTTGCAATCCCAAAGTGAGTTTTGAGGTCTCTTGTCTTTGAAAATTTTTCAGAAAATACTAATTTCAATACACATTAAGCCTCTAGACCAAATTTACCATGAAGCATCATATCTGATCTTTACCCAAACAGGTTTTGTTAGAACCAGGTGGCAGAGGACAGTATTTCTAAACTCACTTTGCACTTGGAAAAATACTAAACCTTATGTCCATTAACTTATAATAAATTTTTATGATATCCTTCAATAAAATATCTTTAATTAGCAGGCTGGTATAGAGTCAGTCCAAATGAGCCTACCCTTTATCTAGAGCAATCCAGGTGGAAATAGGTGCCCCAAGCATTGTCAGCATGAAGGAGGCAGGGGTTAGGAGCCAGGACCCATCAGCCTTGGTCTATATCCAAGAGAATGCTCTGGCACTCTGTGTAATCAGACTGGTCAAAGCCCAAGCTTGGAGTCTCGGTACTATATCCTCCTCTTATTAGCTATTTTACTCTACATGGTTGGCTTAACATCTCTGCTTTGATTTTATCATCTATACTATGGGAATAATGATGTCATCTTCTTCGTAGGGAGCAAAGAATAAATAAGATCAAGAGCTGAATGCAGTGCCTGACACAGTACATGCTCAGTGAATGCCAACAACCATTGGTGGGGTACTGCAGAACCAGCCATTCCAAGGATCCAGGGCTTTGGTGGCACAAAGGTCAGAGTCACACATGATGGGACATCAAAGAAACCAAGATCAGGAAGGAAGAGTCCCTCCTGAATTTTGAGGACACTGT